ATAGTCTCGCCTTCCTTCAACAACAGTTTAAAGCAGCCATCATGCCAGAGTGCCAACCTGCGCTCAAGGGCCTCTACATGGTCCTTTGCCTTTGAGCGACGGGAAGGCTTCTGTAACACCAGCAAAGGAAACAAAAAGCTGCTTTCAAAGCAATACTCTCCATAGAGGAGTCATTAGCAAATGCACGAAACAGTCTAGAGAGCTCTCGAACCACCAACTTTCCTTGCTTGCCATGTGGGATCTTTAAAATGTTGGGAATCCAATGGACTGCTCGATCATAACACTCAGAAATCAGACGAACACACTCACTGCCATCCAGGGACTTCCATCGGAATAGAGGCTTAGCAGAAGGACGGAAAGATGGTAAATCAGCAGTAGCAGGCACAGGGGAGCTCGCAGGGGAGGCCGGCGGCCCGGTGAGAGAACAGAGAGGGAGATCCACCGCGCGAAGACTCCAGAGCGGCATCCTCAGAACATTCGTAAAACCCAGTGGGAGAGATGCATCTAGAGTCAGTATAAGAAGGAGTACCTGGAATATACTCTTCGTCAGAAGAGTCACAGACAGAAGGCTCTTCTCGCGGACCTTCAATGGCCGCGCGACCACTCAGTAGGCTCAGAGGGGACAGGTGAGCTACGAGATGGAACTTTCGCTAGATTAGAACAGTTTCCCAGTGAAGCAGGAATACAACCAGTACAGAACTTGCGATTTTTGGTACACTGGCATCTCAAACAGTGGCTTTGACTCTTACAGGGACAACAGCTTTCTTCTGCCATCTTTACCACGTGGGGCTATAGCCTTGGGAAATTTTTAGAAATTTGATGTTTTAAAAAAATGGTCATAACTTGAAAAATTGAAGTCAGAATCAGCTCAAACTTTCTACACAGCATAAGTACATCAATATATATCAGAAAATGTAATAAAAAGTTGGGGTGATTTTGGAGCCATTTTTTGGAAAAAACCATGGGCTATATTAGCCTTGGGTATTTTTTTTAGAAATTTGATATTTTTTAAAAATGGTCATAATTAACTTTAAAAATTGAACTCGGAATCAGCTCAAACTTTCTACACAGCATAAGTACATCGAAATGTAACAGAAGATGTAATAAAAATTGGGGGTGATTTCAAAGCTGTTTTTTGGAATAAAGCATGGGCTATATAGCCTTGGATATTTTTCAGAAATTGGCCAATTTTAAAAAATGGACATAACCTGAAAAATTTAAGTTGGAATCGGCTCAAACTTTTTACAAAGCATAAGAACATCAATATGTATCAGAAAATGTAATAAAAATTGGGGGTGATTTCAGAGCCGTTTTTTTGGAAAAAAGCATGGGCTATAGATCTAGCCTTGGGTAGTTTTTAGAAAATGGCCAATTCAAAAAATGGCCAATTCAAAAAATGACCATAACTTAATAAATTTAAGTGGGAATCGGCTCAAACTTTTTACATAGCATAAGGACATCAAAATGCATTAGAAAATGTAATAAAAATTGGGGGTGATTTTGGAGCCATATTTTGGAAAAAAGCATAGGCTATAGTCTTGGGTATTTTTCAAAAATATGCCAATTTTAAAAAATGGCCATAGCTTGAAAAATTTAAGTCGGAATTGGCTCAAACTTTCTAGACAGCATAAATACATCAATATGTAATCAAAATTGGGGAGCTATTTTTATGGGTTACTATTTACTCTGTACCTTTGCTTTTTACAAAATTACTTAAAACTATTTGTTGAAAATAGCTCAAACTCTCTACATAGCACAGGACTGTGCATTGGAATCAAAATGACAAATATAATGTGGAATATGTATAGATCTACTAGCATATAAACAAAGGAAACCATTCCACTAATGTATATATATAGTTGTGTTTGCTAGATTATTTAGCACTGCTCCAAGATGTTTATCTTAAAGTTCACTGTCATTATAAGAATATTGATATAAACACAAGTCACTTCCACTCTAAAATAATAAGATATGGCAGTGTCTGGGGTGTATCAGGTTTTAAGCTTATTAGTTCTAACTAAATCTGCTCATCCTTATGACGATGTTGGAAAGGCAGAGTTGAATGATCATGAAGTTTTTAGAGATTGCTGTAAGTTGATATTTGTTCTAACAAACAATTTATGTATTTTTATTATTAAGCTCCAAGTAATAAATTTTTTGAAGTCACTAATCGGAAAATAAGTCCGATGCCAATCATGCGTGGACAAGATTTCCACATTTTGGCAAAAATTGAAATAAGTAAGCTATGAGTACAAAATTCTTAAGTAATGTTTAAATAACTATAATTTTCAAGAGGAGAAAATTGAATGGGGAATCCTTCACCTCATGGTAACATATCCATTGTGCAGTAATATGAATGTTACTATTGTTGATGAGAAACTTAACTTTTGTGATTTTTGTGATGATGCCCTAAAACTGTATTGTCCTATTCAACCAGGAACATACTACATGAATGACACTTATCAAATACCAGAAATTTTCTGGACGGTAAGCTAGATGATATTTTTAACAAGCATAATACCGTATAATTCATTTAGGGTTTGTATTAAGGTAAAGCAACCATCTATAATGAATGGAATGAAGAAATGTATTGTGGAGAAACTAAACTTATCATAAAATGAACTATAATCAACGTCAGTTTAATATAAAAATCACAATGTTTCTATATTGCATAGGTGTATCAGGTTATTAGTTTATTTAACTCTAGTAATGTTTGTATAAAATGTACTGAAAGTTTATTGAGTACTTTAAGCATATCAACTAAACACTGAAGATGGTGATTGGTTTACTTCCAATTACCAGTATACCAAAACCTTAGTATTGCTATCATAGTTGGATTATTGAGTGAAGACATTATGATGAATTTTCCATTATAGTGTTATTCAGAACATCAATAAACACTCACTGCATGATTAATAAAGCAACTAGATACCTATAATAAACAGATGAAGCTCAAGGACATTGTAAATGACAGTTTATGGAAGGCAATGAGTACTAAGTTTATTTTACATTATTAAAACCGAAAGTACATAAAGTACATTGTATATTTTCACAACCAACACCTAACATCAAAAGGAATGCTAATGCTAACCAAGATCATTCAATCACTACCAACAAAAATGCCATATGATATATACCAGCATGATATGGATGCTTGTATAGCTTTAGCATCATAGTTATTCAAATAATACATCCCCAACCAAAGGACTACTATTGACATTGCTTTGAGTTAAGTCATTAAGTATTTACTGTATGTTATTAAACTAAAAGTCAGCAGCATATTCAAAGCATGTGACAATGCATAAAACAAACACAATTGATAACATTCAATAATGATATAACATAACGGGACATATAAGTGTTATCACTGTAACACGTACATCGCTAGCAACAAGAAAAAATGATGACTGTCCTATTGATGATCCTTTCAGTTGTACTAGTAGTATCTACATTGACTGGATCTACTAACAATTACTACAATGGTAAGATACTGACTACTATACTAATGGATAATATACCTGTTTAATTTATATATACTACCAACAACAAGAACCTACTGGTAATAAAGGAGTCACAGATTGTTGTAAGTTCAGTAATACACTATTGATTTATTTTATTAATTTTAAGCTGTTACTAAGAAATTTGCCCAATTCTTTAATGTATCATTAACTTCATATACACTGATTCGTGGAAAAGAGTTTCAGATACATGTCACTTTTCATAATAGTAAGTTACATACTTACTAGTGGTATAAATCTTTTTCTAGAGAAAACCATACAATGGGGTATACTGCATTTCACATTGACATATCCTTACAAGAATTATATTAATATTACTTTCATGGATGAGAAATTCAATTTATGCGACTACATTGACGATATATTCAAGGTATATTGTCCTATGCCACCAGGAACATATCATACTGATTCAGTACAAACACTAACAAAGCTCCTTTGGCCAGTGAGTAATAGATACAGTGTATCGTTATTACTATACTATTTCATAGGGTAAATATTATGCCAAAGCTACTGCATACATTGAGAAAGGAGAGGAAATGATGTGTCTAATGACAGAATTTACTGTCAAATAACTTGAATAAAAATAGTGGAAGCACATAAGTGCATAATGAATTTAAGTTGATTGTGTTTTCTTAACAAATGCTGCTTATTAAAACATTAATAATAATAAACAATTCCTTGTATAACTAGTGAATATGCATTTTTCATGCAATCATTACTATTAATAATAAAATGAGAACAAACACACATTTGTAAATGAGAACTCAATACTTTTAAAACTTCATGAATACCAATGCATTCAGTAAATTTAATAGATCATAGTAGTGTGCACATTAAACTATAGACTGGACATAGAGTATAGTCAGTAGACACAATAAGTAAAGAAAATACAAAAGACAAATATTGCATGGCATATAGTCCACTTAATACTGCAATGGGGTATACTATGTCACAAATACACAAAATTATACTATACATGTACACGTACATGCTCATGCAATTTGTCCAATACAACTATAGGGATCCACTTGGAAGCCTTGTCATAGAAGTGTCCGTATGAATAGTTTGATCATAAGGAAATGAGGATTCCACCAGCACATGCATGTATATAAGCAGAGATCCATAATTAACAAGTTCATATCCCCTTAATCCATCCATGTACATGTAGCTCTTCTATGCTTCACCATTTCTCATGGCCAGTCTCTCTCTTCAGTCTTCATTCCTAACTTACAATGTACTGTACTTTAATGCCTCAAGGCAAGTTGTAATCCTTTAATTAATATAGTACCAGAACCAATGACAAATATCAGATCTTTTTAAGAGATGCTAGGTCTCAGTGAGTAGAATGAGTTTTTCTTTTTGGAATGTGAGTCATCAACTTTTTAGACGCAAAATGGGTAGACTAGTAGAGTATATACTGTTACATCTATCAGTTGTACTAGTAGTATCTACATTGACTGGATCTAATAACAATTACTACAATGGTAAGATACTGACTACTATACTAATGGATAATATACCTTTCAATTATATATGCTATTAACAACAAGAACCTACTGGTAATAGAGGATTGACAGATTGTTGTAAGCTCAATAATACACTGTTGATTAATTCTCTCTTACATACCTAAGCTAACAATCATGATTTCATTACCATAACTAATGTATCATCAAATATATTTGGACAAACAATTAAACCAGGACAAAAATTTTACTTCAAAGGAATTGCTAATAAGTAACATTGGTAGCTACTACTTATATCAGTTTAATATTCTGTTTTTTAGAAAAGGAGCTCAATTGGGGCGTTATACATACATGTAGCACAAAAACGCATCAGTTTAAGAACTATGTTTTAACGATTCAAAGTATAATCTCTGTGACATTAGTGTCTTTGTATGATCAAGAGTAGATGATCATCTACTCTTGGTATGATATACCAAAAATTTTCTGGACGGTAAGCTAGAAGTACTTTTGACAAGCATAATACTATATAATTCATTTAGGATTTGTATTACAGTAAAGCAACTATCTATAATGAATGGAATGAAGAAATGTATTCTATAAAAACTAAACCTAACACAAAATGAATTATGTCAGCATCAGCTTAATATAAAAATCACAATGTTTCTATATTGCATAGGTGTATCAGGTTATTAGTTTATTTAACTCTAGTAATGTTTGTATAAAATGTACTGAAAGTTTATTGAGTACTTTAAGCATATCAACTAAACACTGAAGATGGTGATTGGTTTACTTCCAATTACCAGTATACCAAAACCTTAGTATTGCTATCATAGTTGGATTATTGAGTGAAGACATTATGATGAATTTTCCATTATAGTGTTATTCAGAACATCAATAAACACTCACTGCATGATTAATGAAGCACTATGGTGCAATGGACTCGCCTGCTGGAATTCACTTGAGTGATATGTATTACTTGTACTGTGATATTTTAAGCAATTTGAAAAAAATTATTATTATGGACTGCATAGTTATGATAATTAAAATAAGCTATGGGTGTGGTCAACAACTAACTAAATCATGGCACATGGGTAGGAGAAAGAAGAAAAGCTGAAATTTATTTTAGCATCTGAAGCTCTATTCCAAGAAAGAGTTGGCACAGAAAATTTTTCTAGATATTTAAAAGAGACCGAGAGAGTTTGGTTGCTCCTGCTTTCCCCAGTGCCGCCTGAAAAATTCTCAAAGAGGCTAAATCACAAACTTTGAGCAACTGTAACTCACAAACAATGAAGTTAGGACAAAATCGTTCTTTTTGTTTTTCGTTAGATGGGATTTTCTACCTCTGAAGCAAATCTCGGCCCTGTAGAGTGAAACACGAGCTCTCACCTGGAGAGAGGTCCCCTGGTTTAGCAGTTCACAGCTTTTGGTGCCACGGGATGCTACAAGAGCATTACTAGATGAAAGAAAGCAACTTTATCTGTTGCTAGAAGAAGAAATAGAGCTCTATACTGCTCAAACAAAAAGATAATTTTTTTACAAATCAATTAAAGTGTGTGGACAGAATGACAGAATGACAACCCAACTGCTTAGTACCCGCCTACGCGAGTCCAATAAACCACGCCCAAGTCCGGCAATAAACATTAACTAGAATGGGTGGAGAGTCCCAAAATACGGCGAGGCACTAGTTCTGAAAAGAACCAGTGGCGTAGCCAGACCTTTTGTGATGCCTGGGCCGGTCGTTACTAAAATCATAGATATTATAGACTACGTAACCGGGATTGGAAACTGATGACGTCACGTGTACAGACTGTGTGGTTATTAATGCATGAAATTGCATGAATTTGCATCAAAATGGTGAAAATCATGAAGAATTGTTATGTTTGATGAGCCGTATTAATAATATACTGTGATGTAGCTGGTTCTAAGTAGCTTAATCGCATAAAGAAAATACCAGAGATCACGATGGTACCTTTCTCTTCGTGTCTCTATGCTTAGTTCGCT